CGACTGCGGGCCTCGCTCATAGACATGTTATTGCTGCGCGCGGATAATGGAGCAACAAGCGGCTTTCGCTCATAACTAGTCTAGGGCTACTGAATACTTTATATTATAAGCCTTGTAGATCTCGCATTGTAGTAGCCAACTACATTTTTACAACCTACCACCTCAGAATAAGAACGTGTTGCAGATAAGAAAAGTAAAATTAGCTCCACCACCTTTTCTTTTTGGAAACATATCTCCCTCCGTTCATCCTCGCGACAGTATCGGCGCCAGGTTTGCAATTTTGGGTAGGCCTGCAGATTAGTAAGTAGGCCAAATTCGCTTGCAAACTACAAGGGCTAACTGGAATTGGGGTTTCAAAGAATATGGTTCAAACGCACACACGCACGCACACGCACTCACGCGCGCACATACACACAAGCTCATTTATGAAACTTGCGTTGAAAAAGGTGTACATTTTGGGTGTATATTCCATTTACGCAATTTGCCAAAATGTTTTGATACATTAGAAAAATCCTTATTGAATTGTAGAAGTGAATAAATATAGATTGATTGAATGAATGAATAATTCATATATATTATGCAGCGGTGGCTCTGAATGAAGCGTCTGCAGCGTCTTGGACGCAGCCTGGCTCGGGGTAGAAGTGCGCATTGAGGCGCTGTACACTTCAGAGAGCGTTTGCGGTCCAGATTTCACAAAGAAACTCTGGAGCCAAAACTTCTGCACATGTGGCGCGACCTCTCACGGCACTCGCTGCGCACTCTGGACAGGGCAGTGAGACGTTTGTGAGTGAGCAATACCATCGATGCGTTATTGGGGTGTGTGTCTGTGTGAGGCTTACACAAATCTAATGAAATAACACATTGCTTTAGATGTGAATGAGGAATACAAATAGCCGTGTGTAATTACGCAGCGCAGAGCCTGCCACAGAAATAGGTCACACATCCCTGTTGCGTAAAGTGTATTTATATAGAGCCTTTGACTGTCCAGGATCACAAAGCGCTTCACATTTTAAAAACATACAGATCAAAATAATACACACACAAGTCAGATTTAATAGAGGGTCCTCATGAGCTGTGATTTATTCGAAGTTTGCGTGTTTCCATTAGACTTTTTCTGATGCGCAAATTCAAATTTTGAAACATGATCCTCAATGAAAACACAGCATATAATTTTGCCAGAGGGAATATGTTTATTGTTGTACATATCTTGAATTTCATGCGTGTTGTGCCGAAGGTTGAGTTCAGCGTATAGATTTACACCACCTCCAGACCTGGCGTATATTTTTTGCGTATTGTACGCTCACGTCCAGATAGATAAATGCGGAAAAGTGTAATATTTTGCGTACGCCTCATTTACCCTGATTTGGCCGTACGCAGGTTTCATACATGAGGCCCACAGTGAGGCCCACAGTGAGGCCCACAGTGTGTCTCACACAGGCCTAGAGTTTACCTCATCGGTGCAAGGCGAGCCTGGCCTGACCGCGCTCTCCTCCTCTGGGACCTACGGGCCCGGGCCTCTGGCTCCTCTACCTCACAAAGTTCACGCTGAACTTTCTTAAAATTAAAATGAAAAAGGCTGCTCTGTTGTGAATGCTTTGAGAGCGTTGTCAATCTTTAAGACGAGGAATAGCTGGTTGTTCTCGCTTCACGCTGTATATGATATTGGACAAAATTGTTCAGCCAATAAACAGGACTATATTTGAAGCAACGTAGGAACGTGATAACGCTCAGGGGGTTATATTATTATTAAAATTATTATTATTATTCCCCCCACTGTAGGAGCCAATACACTTTTCAATATTTTTGAATTCTGAGCGTTTCCAATTGTATTTAAAAATGGGAAACCTAATTAAACAATCATGAATTGAGCTTTTCCGATCTTATTTTACACTGATTCCTTTGATCATTTTTTTCTTAAAGTTCAAGTTGTAAAAATGCTATGTTTGAATTGGTTATTTACATTTTAACTGTGAGTGACACGTAAGGCGGGACAACAATGCACAATGACGCACGCATTCTGAATAGAATAATATGTATTAATATCTCTAAAACTAAAAGAGCATATTCAAGTTTTACAACAAAAACGACGTCATATGGCGTGTCCATTATGCGTAAAAGCACAGTGCCCTCAGCAAAACCACGTATTTGGAAAAACTATAGGCTAACAGATGTAGTAGCTCTAGTTTCAATCGTCCTCATTTTATTCAGTCAGACTTGTCAAATATAGATGCCCATGGGAGAGTGAGCAAGGGGAGATAACATGCCCATAACATGCCCAAAAATATCCTGCATAGACTCAAGCTGCGATCAGCTGAAATATGAGCACACAAAGAGCGAGAGGGAAAAAGAAAAGTAAATAGGCTTAGGCTAGTTAGTATTTTTTCTCTCACAAAAGTTGGCGCGGATCATATGCCATCTTTCGTGGAGGAGGAAACATCAAACATCAAAGGGCGCACGCGGGGAACAGCGGGACTTGTCTTGTTGTTGAAGTCCCGATGTTCCCCCACTTCTGTTGGCGGGGGAACATCGGACCCGGGGAACATCGGGAATTTTTTATACGCGAAGTACCGATGTTCCCCGGGTCCGATGTTCCCCCGCCTATAGAAGTGGGGGAACATCGGACCCGGGGAACATCGGACCCGGGGAACATCGGTACGCACCCCTTCTCAATTCTCTGCTCAAAGTGCCGTATTTTTTGCCGAGTCTCGTAGTTTAAGATGTCATTCCTTCAGCACCGCTCTGGTGGAGCCAGCTACAGACGCACTGGACTCACTGCTGAGCAGAGCCTCGCGGCGCGGAGCGAGGCGGATTTTTTAAAAAGGTTTTAATTATTAACATTTAACATAAATGAGCCGTGGGCCGTATCAAATCTCTTGGCGGGCCGCATGAATGACACCCCTGTTCTACACCATGACGTATGTGATGCGCCCGAGTGAGTCACTAGCTTTAGCATTTAGCCTAGCTTTAGCATGTAGCCTAGCTTTAGCCATCTCCTTTGCCACTAACGGAGCCCGTGGGGAGTAGAGCCACAACATCTTTGCTTCAATGACATTTACTAAACATTCTTCTTGCTCCGGCTTCAGTTTCTTGATATTTGGATTGAACCAGAACAGATTATTTTACTATCGCATTCTCCGACAAACTACAACCAGCAAATTCAGCACAAACTCTTGACGTCACCGACACCGACCTACAACACCCGCCTCCCCCGCTCTCTGATTGGTCGGAGGGGATTCAACCGAGGAAAATGCAGCCACTAGGATCAGACCCAGACGTACATGTAGGAAATGACCATGGACCAGAGTTTACTGATTGTCTGTACTCAGTATTAGTGACTCAGGGATGGTCTGGTGTCTCTGTTCTGACATATTTCTTATGCACATTGCAATCATCATATAATCTTCTGTTCTGTCTGAAAACGCTTGGAGAAAGAAAGGTGCAAATCCGTGAGATCGCTGCTGCTTCTGTCATTTTTTCAACACATCTGTGGAGTTTTAAGGAAAACATCAACCACAAAGATTATTGAACTGCTCCTGCTGTCATGGTGTGGATTTTATTTTGGACTTTAGCTTTATTTTGATATCTGTTCTCTGTGCTTTGGTTTTAGTTTGACTTTGACGTCCTGTTTCCCCTGTCTTGATTGTCTGCCCCGCCCTAATGTGTTTCACCTGTGTCTCTGTCTATAATTACCCTGTGCTCCTCTCCTCTTGTTGCTGGTCCATTGTATTGTCTACTTCTGTTTCGTCCTGTTCCTGATTTTGTGCTCCTGGTTCCGTATTTTAGATTTTGAGTTTAGTTTTTACCTTGGACTTTATTTTATTAAATCTTTATTTTGGCATTCTTGCATTTTGAGTCCTCCTCCTTCCCACCTCGTGACACCTGAGCAACATTCTTTTGAGCCATACTTAATTTTTCCACAACATTTCATAAAACCACATTATTCAGAAAGGATGGCTTTTTTCCAGAACAGACATAGTAATAAGCTGTAATATAATATAAAAATAATAATAAGTACACATGTTCCGAGTCAGTGTCAGTAGCATCAGGAAAGACATATACACATGTGCATATACTGTACATATATACACATACTACTAAACAAAAATACACACATTTTACCTATATACACATATATGTAGGCCAAACTTAAGTGGGTATTTTATGGGTGTCTTATGTCTGAATATAGCCAAAGAAGGGTTGCCAGATTAAGATAAGATAAACCTTTATTAGTCTCACGGTGGAGAAATGTCAGTGTCATCGTTGCACATTACAGCAGAGAAAGGAAACGAGAGCACTCAGACGCACACTATTTAAGATAATAGACAGTAAAATTATAAGATAAGAATAAAATAAAATGAGATAAAACTCTGGGCTATAATTGCACTTGCTTCGGAAGTATTTACAGATGTCTATATTATACATTAGTCGCGGAGAATATGGGAATATGAAACATCTGAAATAATATCAACAGGTAAAGTGACTTGAATGGGAGAATTATCAGATATGTAATAATGCAGTAGTACTGATAACAGGTAAAGTGATACAAAAATATATGTATATGTGGAGCCATGGAGAGTAAACTTAATCTTCTCGAGTCCGCTAAAATGCAAGAGATCGTTTATCTAAATTTCAAAAGACAGGGGGGTGGGGACTTCTACTACAATAATATCCTCGGTCTAGCCAACATCATCAGAAATGTGATAAGGTCAAAGTTAAGCCTTGGCCGGGCAATTATTTCAAGTAAAACCCCAAAAAAGAGCAGTTAACATTCTCAATTTTTTACATTTAAAACAACACCACCCACAAGAAAAACATAGTATTCAACATTGTGCCTGTAACAAAGTCAGCTCAGAACCACTCCTGCAGGACTTTCTAAATCCTGTCTGCACCGCCCGCGCTCTCAGTATCTCCCGACCTCCTCAATGCGTCTTTTGATTGTTAAAATGGGGGAGGAGGAATCTCATTAGCATGCATCTTAGGGCCGTGTGGGCTGCCTGCAGATGCCCGAGCTGGAGGTGCATGACGGCCTGTGGGAGAAGCCTGGCCGGTCCACTCAGCCTGACACTCTTCCACATGAGAACGGGAAAGCGTCGGAGTCTAAGTGCTGTTTTTCTTATTCCACCTAAATCTCAGATGGTGCCGTGACCCAGTTTTCACAAAGAGAGCTCATGCAAACTTGATGATATGCGGATAACAGAGGAGGACGTGGCGTTAGAGCCCCAAGGTGGGCCTCAAAATGTTGTGCGGCAGGGGGCCGTGTGGTGACGGGCGGATGGAGAAACCCGAGTGAGCAGCTTGGTCCTGCACGGTTAGCCCACATTAGCACGGATGATGGCGCCGTGGCGGAGCGGGATCAGGGTGTTGTCGCTCTCAGAAAGGGGGTTAAATCTGTGTTTACTTTTTAACTTTTCTTTCATTATTCTTATATGGATCCTAAATAAATACTACTTCATATGGAGCCAGTGAATATGAACCAGCAGATATATGTTCCTTCGTTTAATCAGTAAATAAATATTGCCAGAATCAAAGGCATCGTGTCCAAACCTGACTTAGAAAGACTAGTAGTTTAGATTCTAACCAACAGGAGACGTTTAGGCTACAGTGAGGTCCTGCTCTGGGCTTTCCAAAAGACCTGTCCTGACTAGAACCAGGAAGTACCATCACATTAGTCCTGTGCTCAGGTCTCTGCACTAACTTCCTGTGGCTTCAAAGCTGCTCTGAATGTTACAAGTCTCTCCATGGGCTCAGACCAAAGTACATTTGTGACATGTTAGTCCCATATGAACCAACTGGGACTGAGGAGCACAGGGACTGGTCTCCTGCTGGCTGGGACTCTAAGGAGCACAGGGACTGGTCTCCTGCTGGGACTCTGAGGAGCACAGGGACTGGTCTCCTGCTGGGACTCTGAGGAGCACAGGGACTGGTCTCCTGCTGGGACTCTGAGGAGCACAGGGACTGGCCTCCTGCTGTGGACTCTGAGGAGCACAGGGACTGGTCTCCTGCTGGGACTCTGAGGAGCACAGGGACTGGCCTCCTGCTGTGGACTCTGAGGAGCACAGGGACTGGTCTCCTGCTGGGACTGTGAGGAGCACAGGGACTAGTCTCCTGCTGGGACTCTGAGGAGCACAGGGACTGGTCTCCTGCTGGCTGGGACTCTAAGGAGCACAGGGACTGGTCTCCTGCTGGGACTCTGAGGAGCACAGGGACTTGCCTCCTGCTGGGACTCTGAGGAGCACAGGGACTGGCCTCCTGCTGGGACTCTGAGGAGCACAGGGACTGGTCTCCTGCTGGCTGGGACTCTAAGGAGCACAGGGACTGGTCTCCTGCTGGGACTCTGAGGAGCACAGGGACTTGCCTCCTGCTGGGACTCTGAGGAGCACAGGGACTTGCCTCCTGCTGGGACTCTGAGGAGCACAGGGACTGGACTCCTGCTGGGACTCTGAGGAGCACAGGGACTGGTCTCCTGCTGGGACTCTGAGGAGCACAGGGACTGGCCTCCTGCTGGGACTCTGAGGAGCACAGGGACTTGCCTCCTGCTGGGACTCTGAGGAGCACAGGGACTTGCCTCCTGCTGGGACTCTGAGGAGCACAGGGACTGGCCTCCTGCTGGGACTCTGAGGAGCACAGGGACTTGCCTCCTGCTGGGACTCTGGTCAGGACTAAACCTAAAGGTAAAATCTGGAATAATCTCCTTGAGCTTGCTTGAGCTCCACTGGTCCGCACTGGTCCACACTGGTCCACACTGGTCCGCACTGGTCCGCACTGGTCTACACTGGTCTACACTGGTCCACACTGTATGGATTCTGCTTCATAAAAACATTTGATTGGTGTGGATTGGCCCAGAGAAAATATGTCTAAAAATACCATAGCCATAGTAAGGCAGAGCTGCAGTGGACAGACACAGACCTGTTCTGAATACTTACTTATAGTTTATTAAAGTAAATAAAAATAAATATCTGTGATCATTGAGACATGTCACAGTCATCTTTAATCCACCGACACCAACAGCAGGATATGACTTTTACATGTGTCTAATGCAGATGTATGATTAAAGATATGAATGAGATTTTTTTTTATTTTAGCAATTTTCTCGTTGTATTCTCAAACTTGGAACTTGTTAAGACGTCTAACCGGAGCTGGGCGAGATGGCTTTTCAAAAGTCTGTGATCATAGAATCCAATTTGTGGTGCAAGGTCGGCCACAAATTGCTCTGTTTATCGCACCGGAGACAAATGCGTTTCTCCACGTTTGTTTTTTATGTTTTAAATCAAGACCGTTACCAACAACATTAAACTACAGGTACATCGTGAGGAGTTTTTTTAAAATGTATTTTAGAATTTCAAGTCTTGCATCTGCTTTAGTTCAGGAAATAACAAATCTGACCTAAACCCATCCGTCCATTTTCTTTTGCTTTATCCTGTGCCGAGTTGTGGAGGCAGCAGTCGGAGCAGAGAGGCACACACTTCCCTCTCCACACACACTTCCTCCAGCTCATCTGGGGGAATCCAGAGGCGTTCCCAGGCCAGAGAGACACCTGGTCCTGGGTCTTCCCATGGTCCTCCCATGGTCCTCCTTCCAGCAGGACAAAAACATCCATTGTTGCAGTATATTTCAATTCATGAATTGCAATTTTTTGTTCGGCTGTTGACAAACTGTATAAAAGTGCTTATATATGTTTAGAGCAGAGGTGTCCAACCAGTAGCTCGCCAGCCCCTTAAAAGTAGCTCCCCAAAAGATTTAGAATTTTACACATGATCTTGAATTAAAACATTTATAGTCATGCTTAAGTATTACAGTATGTGTAAGTATGCAGTAAATATAGGGTTAAACAGCTTTATGGTATATTCTATGTGTTCTCCATGTTTTGTCATTATCACAACCATTTTTATTACAACTGCAAAAAGGAGTAGCTCTCTGCCTCTTCTGTTTTATAAAAGTAGCTCTCTGATTGATAAAGGTTGGAGTACAGTATATACTATAGCCTTGAAGTATTCAAATATCTCTTCAATAATAGAAATATTACAGGAATACAGAATTTTTGGTGTGATCTCTGTGGCCGAGTAATTTGGTTTTTGATTAAACAGGTAGTTCTGCAATTATAGACCTCCAAACATGGTATATCAAGCTAAAATGTCCAAATTAGGATCAAAACCACAACTTTGACAGCATTTTTCTCTCAAGGATTCTGTTTGTGTAACTTTTTCACGGCTAACTGTAACTATTTAGCATTAAAAAGCAAAAGGGCCTGTAGGAACCTGTTTGAATCCTTTTCATTTGTGGCTCAGGGTGTTTTTCTCTGGTTTTTCTGCACTGAGTGAGTTCCTGAAGCTTCCACAGCGCACATACTGAACGTGCTCATATCCAAGGCCGAAGTGAAAATGTTCAGTGCAGCGCTTTCTGATTTTCATCCCATTTAACCAAGGCTAACCACAGTCATAGTCATTATTTGTTTGCTAGATATATCAAGCTAAAAAAAAAGCTGCAGCCCTTTCAGTCATCTTCACACAAAAACAACACATCTTAAATTAAAAAAACAAAGCGCAGAGGAGAACCGAGGCACAAAAGAATCGTGAGCTGGGCATTGTGGGCTCACACTTCAAACCCTCTCAGCCGGAGCAGAACAAAAACAACCGCAGTAAGACTAAATATCAGAGACACAGAAGAAAGGGCCATGTGTGTGGGGTTTCTATAACAGTGGGATTAAGGCCTCCGACTGGCTCCAACCGGATACAACCAACCGGGAGGGGCCTGAATGTGAAGATGATTGATTGAAACCAGTGCATGTTTCATTTTCGTCACATCAATCAATCAAAGTGTATTTGTAGAGCGCCTTTCATACACACGGCAACACAAAGCACTTCACAGAACATAACAAACACCAGAGTCACAATTAAAACATTCAAATCACACAAGGTATTAAAACCCTTAAAACTTGGGAATTACACAAGGAATTAAAAATGGAGATAAAATCCTTCAGTTGTAGCACAGGCAAACACAACAGTCTTTAACCTTTAGACTGTAACCAATATCAACCAATAACAATATTACAACACACACACACACACACACAGAGAGTCACACGCACACAGAGAGAGACACACACACACAGAGAGAGATACACACAGAGAGACACACACACACACACAGAGAGAGACACACACACAGAGAGATACACACAGAGAGACATACACACACACAGAGAGAGAGACACACACACACAGAGACACACACACACACACAGAGAGATACACACAGAGAGACATACACACACACAGAGAGAGAGACACACACAGAGAGAGAGAGAGACACACACACACAGAGAAACACACACACACACAGAGAGACATACACACACAGAGAGACACACACACACGCAGAGACATACACACAAAGAGACACGCACACAGGGACACACACAGAGAGAGAGAGACACACACAGAGAAACACACACACACACACAGAGACACACACACACAGAGAGACATACACACACAGAGAGAGAGAGAGACACACACACACACAGAGACACACACACACGCAGAGACATACACACACACAGAGACACACACACACACAGAGAGAGACACCCACACACACACACACAGAGACACACACACGTTGATCACCCTCAATCACTTACAGTACTGCAGAAAAAGCACTAAAGAAGAAGAAACAGATGAAACAAAATGGAGGAGGTTGTCGTGGCGGAGGTTGGAAGGTCGTACACACGGAGAGTAAATCCAACCAATGTGAGAATACAGGTTAATAAATACTCATGCTTTACACGCGGATTGTTAGTATTGTGTGTTGAATTCATAGACCGTGAATATTAACAGACGTAGTCACACCTATTTACGCCCTTCAAACTAATGTACCACCACTTTTGCCTTCTGCGGGCTTTTCAAAATGGCCGCGGGGCTGGAAAATGTGAAAAACGCATTTGCGCATGTGTTAGCTGCACTAGCCCCATTCATTTAACGAGTGCATTCAAAAGTCCACAACGGCTAAACTAGACTGGTCCAAAAAAAAAACTCCCCTCAGCATTGACAGCATCTGGAACCAAGAGCCACTTTTGGACCAAGAGCCACTTTTGGACCAAGAACCACTTTTGGACCAAGAACCACTTTTGGACCAAGAGCCACTTTTGGACCAAGAGCCACTTTTGGACCAAGAGCCACTTTTGGACCAAGAGCCACTTTTGGACCAAGAGCCACTTTTGGACCAAGAGCCACTTTTGGACCAAGAGCCACTTTTGGACCAAGAACCACTTTTGGACCAAGAGCCACTTTTGGACCAAGAGCCACTTTTGGACCAAGAGCCACTTTTGGACCAAGAGCCACTTTTGGACCAAGAACCACTTTTGGACCAAGAGCCACTTTTGGACCAAGAGCCACTTTTGGACCAAGAGCCACTTTTGGACCAAGAGCCACTTTTGGACCAAGAGCCACTTTTGGACCAAGAGCCACTTTTGGACCAAGAGCCACTTTTGGACCAAGAGCCACTTTTGGACCAAGAGCCACTTTTGGACCAAGAGCCACTTTTGGACCAAGAGCCACTTTTGGACCAAGAGCCACTTTTGGACCAAGAGCCACTTTTGGACCAAGAGCCACTTTTGGACCAAGAACCACTTTTGGACCAAGAGCCACTTTTGGACCAAGAGCCACTTTTGGACCAAGAGCCACTTTTGGACCAAGAGCCACTTTTGGACCAAGAGCCACTTTTGGACCAAGAGCCACTTTTGGACCAAGAGCCACTTTTGGACCAAGAGCCACTTTTGGACCAAGAACCACTTTTGGACCAAGAACCACTTTTGGACCAAGAGCCACTTTTGGACCAAGAGCCACTTTTGGACCAAGAGCCACTTTTGGACCAAGAGCCACTTTTGGACCAAGAGCCACTTTTGGACCAAGAGCCACTTTTGGACCAAGAGCCACTTTTGGACCAAGAGCCACTTTTGGACCAAGAGCCACTTTTGGACCAAGAGCCACTTTTGGACCAAGAACCACTTTTGGACCAAGAGCCACTTTTGGACCAAGAGCCACTTTTGGACCAAGAGCCACTTTTGGACCAAGAGCCACTTTTGGACCAAGAGCCACTTTTGGACCAAGAGCCACTTTTGGACCAAGAGCCACTTTTGGACCAAGAGCCACTTTTGGACCAAGAGCCACTTTTGGACCAAGAGCCACTTTTGGACCAAGAGCCACTTTTGGACCAAGAGCCACTTTTGGACCAAGAGCCACTTTTGGACCAAGAGCCACTTTTGGACCAAGAGCCACTTTTGGACCAAGAGCCACTTTTGGACCAAGAGCCACTTTTGGACCAAGAGCCACTTTTGGACCAAGAGCCACTTTTGGACCAAGAGCCACTTTTGGACCAAGAGCCACTTTTGGACCAAGAGCCACTTTTGGACCAAGAGCCACTTTTGGACCATCCTGTACAGACGTTTTTGAGAGGAAAGAAAACTCCATTCAAAAGCATTGGGTAATTCTCTTTCCGGGTACACCCCCACACACCAGGAGTCAGATTGCAGCATGTCAGCGCACGTGCAAATGGACTCCTCCTGTTTGTCTTCTGTCGTGATTTAAAAAATGAATGGAATTGACCTTTCTTTAAAACATACCTAAATGATGTACGCGTTTATGCATAATCCAAGCAAAGAAATAAGTCTCCATGGCAACAAGCCGAAAGCAGGCACCATCCCTCTGCTCTGCCCAGTGCTAATATGTCAACTCTGTGATATTTTGGTGTTTACTTTACACATTTGTCCTGTTCTCCCACTTTGGAGAACAGGAGTGTGACATCACCATTGGCCCGAGCGGTTCACTGCAAAAGATGACAGAATTAAAGACCAAAAAATGCTCAAATTTGGCTAAATCTATCTAAATTTGAGCACATTTTTACTGTCTTAAAACAAGATTTGCCAGTGGAACAAGATAAATTGTCTTGTTTTAAAAAGATACAAGATATTTCTCTCTTGGAATGAGAAAATAAAGCAATAGTTCTTGAATCAAGTCAAAATTGCTTGTCTCATTGGCAAATCTCATTTTAAGACAGTCAGAATGAACTTCAGTCAAGTTAAAAAAAACTCGATTCTAGTAATTATCATCTCATATTTGATCATTTTTTGCAGTGTTCACCATACAGTATGTGGGCAGCTCCCAGTTTGAACAGCGAAAAGAAGAAGGCAATTTTATGTAACGCTCTAATACTCAGTGTCTAAACCAGAGGACGTTTCTCTGCCCACACAATGCGCCTGAACAGACCTGACAAAATGTTTGAATAAAGCCGGTTTCTCTGGCAGCATCAGCGGCTTGGCAAGGCTCATATGAGATGTGGAGTTCAAGGCTTCCAGAGATCGATAATTCTAAAGCTCAGAGCTGCAGAGTTCTTTTTGCAGAAAGTAAAGGGGGGAAAAAACCTCCTTTTACAACTTTTCCAAAAGTAGAACGGCTTGAGGTATTGACCTGCAGACCTAAAGTAATGTTTAGAATAGTGACAGGTGAGAAACGGTTGTGAAGGATTGTATGGTGTGTGTGTTTCTCGCGGATCAGTGTTTTCAACTTGGAATCAACATCTAAAGCCACGGCATGAAAAACATAAACTCGCACTGACTTCTGCTCGTGTTCTTTGATGTCTATTTCCCATTTTTTGTGTCGCTGAAGGTGATAAGCAAATCGGTGACACTGTATTTTATGTAAAGCGGCGTCTAATGGGCAGCACGGTGGCTGAGTGGACAGCAGTCTCGCTTCTCAGCAATCCCGGTCGGAACAGGGCCTTTCTGAGGGGAGTTTGCATGTTCTCCCTGTGTTTGCCTAGGTTTCCTCTGGGTGCTCCGGTGTCCCCTACCACTAAAAATACAATAGGTCTGCGCCTCCTGTTCTGGCCCCGCTCCCATCTCTGTGTGGAGTGACAGACCAATGCCCACATTTGTAAACCGCTTTGTGACTCTGGTCTGAGAAAGGCGCTATATAAATAAACATTACTTACTTATCGGGTTGATGTTTAAATTACAGTGAGACGCAAGGTCAGAATAAAGCCATTATCATAGACCAGGACATCTGTAAGGAAATCCTGCTCAATAAATTGTCGTGCTAGCCCCGTTCAGTTAACGAAATCAGACTTTGTAAATGAGACAGATACTGAGGGTGTTAGTCAACCACAGATCTGCCGGGTTAGCTAAGACCATGCCGTTTGATTGATTGGTTTCAAAATGTCACCTACTTTCTACATTTCAGCAAAAACAACCAAGCCATAATCACAAAGGTGAAATTAATTTGCAAATCAAGGGTTCTTTCTGCCATAAAAACAAAAACAAACACCAAGACAGTAGCTCTATCGGTACAGATGTGTTTGCATATGAATACTACGAAATTATTCTGAATAATTGGTTATTGGTTATGGCCGAGAATGAGTCTGGTGTGTGTGTGAATGGTTGGTGGTGGTGGGAGGGGCCAATGGCACAGACTGGTTGCCTCGCTTCTGTCAGTGTGCCCCAGGGCAGCTGTGGCTATGAAGTAGTTTGGAGTGAATGAATAATGTATGGCATGTAAATAGACTTAGAGTGTCCAAAAAAAAACCAATGCATTATTATTATTATCAACCCCTCCCCAGCTAATTGTTATGGGGATGCACGGTGGCTGAGTGGTTAGGTTTCCTCCAGGTGCTCCGGTTTCCCGTACCACTAAAAACATGCATAGGTCAAAATGCAATGAGAGAGTGAATGGATGGCGTCTCACTTCTGTCATCGCCGTGTGTGGAGAGGATGGAAAAATATCAACAAATATCTGGACATTGTAAAGTGCTTTGGGTGAACTTGGTCTGTAAAAATGCGCTATATAAATAAACATGACATTAATTACTTACTAGTTGTTTTCTAATATCATTTTGAGGACCCCCGTAATACCTTTGCTATCCCTGCAGCTGAGAAACACTGAGCTAGGATGGCATCGACCAATTAGAGATAGGTAGATTCATACAAGGGCGTAGGTTTGCGTGGGGACCATGGGGACATGTCCCCACCAATATTTGGTGAGGACTAAAAAGTCCCCACCAAAATGACATGATGTCCCGTGACCCGGACGGTCCGGGACACATGTCTTCCGTTTGTGCACACGTCGCGCCTCCTCCTCGCCTCCAGAGCAACAGCAGCAGCAGCAGCACGTGACCCGTTCCGTTCTCTGCAGTGATTGGCTGTCTTCTTCAGCGCCAAACTGAAGCACTGAGCAACTGTTTAATTTTTAAAAGTTAGCCAGCGTGAAGCAAGTGTTTTTTTTCGTTCCCTGAGCGTTGTAGCACGTGAGTAATCAGAGGAAAGTACTGTAGATCTATTACCATTCAAAGTACTTACGTTATTTCTAATCTGTCAGCGCACTGTTTAATGTCCCGAGGAGCTCACACGGCACAGAGACAGAACAGAACTGGCTCCAATAAAGAAACAGGTTGGTTGAAAGGCTGAAAAAATACTTATTGTGCTCTTACTATCCAAAATGTATAAGTGGGTGTGTTGTGTGAATCAGGATAAACTAGGGATGAAAATATTCCACGGATCCACGATTTACAACCTTTATCTGCTGATAATGTAATTTCTGTGAAATGTGTGACAGCGGGCACTTGCTGTTATTTGCTCTAAGCACATTCAAGCGATGCACTCGAATGTGCACGTCCTGGTGCAGCTGCTGCCGCTTTGTAATGAACAGCCGCGGCGCTCAGTGAAAGCACAGCTCTAACATGGTACCGAGCTCGGACCATATGCAGACAGAACCATGTTGCAAGTGCGGGTCTCCCTCGTATCTCCCCGTTTCTCCCCTGTGTCTCTGACATGTCTCTCCCCTGACTCTTCCCAAAGCGCAACCAGCGCTCCCGAAATTAAAGCTCGGATACCTAAATTTTCCATTGCGTTAACGATGCATGCTGGTTGTGCGCAAAACACACCACAACAGGTCATTTAAGTTTTTATTTTGCATACTTGAGAGCCCTGTGAGTCATTACTTGCCTTTTTGGGTTGAGAGTGGAATAAAAAAAAGAAAATATAGAAAAATCCACACTGTTACTTATTGCCAAACTCTTGTTAACTCATTGTATTGAGAAATACTATGTAACTTTTGACATTGGCCAAGTTATATAAATGATTCTGCAGTTCATGTATATGAATGTCTGTTTTTGATTGTCTATACCTTCTTATATAATTTAGAAAAAATGCCACCTCCACAAAAAAAGATAAAAGATATCAGGAGCTTTTTTAACAGTTGGAACGTAAGTAAGAGAAAGCACAAGTAACAGCAAATTATGAATTGTGATGATTAATCTTCTGTTAACATACATAGGAAACTCAACCAACAAAAGAGAACAATATAGGGAATGTTGAGGTAGAAGCAACAGGCCCTTCAGTGCATCAGGTGAGGTTGGAATTTTGTAGGTATGCATGGGACTATGAATTGTTTTTAGAGATTGATTGTATATGTCAAACAATGTAGTGAGCTACTCACTGTAGATTCTAATTCAATATTTTCTCCTCTGTTTTTATTACTGCTTCTCATTCAGTCTACAGCTGAGTTTAGTATAGAAGGCAACACACTATTGCAAATATAGTGTGTGATTACACAACAAATTCTGGGGGAGAAACTCTGGACCCCGTGTCAATGGGTGTAGACTCAGGTCGTAGTGAATGTCCCCACCAAGATTGGAACCAAACCTACACCATTGGATTCATAGATAGATTCATAGATACATAGATATAGATAGATACATAGATAGATAGATAGAAAGATACATAGATATAGATAGATAGATACATAGATAGATAGATAGATAGATTCATAGATAGATAGATAGATAGATAGATACTTTGTAAATCCAGCAGCAGAAAACACATCCATATAAACACATAAGTACATATGAAGCTCATGCGGATGTTCAGACTGAAAGACCGAGTGCCTGCCAATCACACAGCTCCGCCAGCCTCGAGCCTCAGCCAATCACACAGCCCGGCCAGCCTCCTGCCAACCCTCTGGCACCAAGCGGGCAGTTTAAAAGGCAGCCACTTCCTGACAAACAGCGCTTCCTGAAAGCTCTAAACACCCGCCACCTCCCCAGCACCCCCCTCTCGGCTCCTGCTTTGGCTCTGGCTCTGGCTCTGGCTCCGGGTCTGGCTCTGGCTCTGGCTCTGGCTTCTGCTCCAGCTCCTGCTCCACCTACGCCCCATTTCACGCCATGCTTCTAGCCACCACCAGTGATTGACCCCGGGGGGTCTGAGATCATCTTCAGCTGCAATCGATCTCATAGCTGCAAGTGTCACTGCCGGGGTCAATGCGCCAAACAAATAAATCATTTTAATGTATTTATTGTGTCTTTGGTCTCTTCAGATTGAACAATTATACATTTCTGACTAACTACCTTAAAATTGTGAATATTGTAAACGCTATTTAAATAACCACTAAGCAAACGACTAACCTCCCTCTATAAAAATGCCTCCATGTACAGTAAGATACAGATCAGTCACTTCTGAAGATCTCTCCCTTCAGTTATTCCTCCAAAAACACATGTATTTTAGTATCTGCTTCAGCGCTACACCACTCAAGCCTGATTAACGTTAGCAACTATAATATCTATGTAAGCATCAAACAGGAGCAGCAGAAAGCAACACTGTAGCATTTTCTGAATTTATACAAGTCTGGTCTTTGCAAAGCTGTTTGTAGACGGGGTGATCAAAAGCGTTAAATGATGAACTTCAAGCTTTATTTGACTGCCGATATAAACAGGCAGCCATTTTAGACCGCCAACCATTGCTTTGTTTGCACAGAAGCAGATGGCAATTTTACAAGTGGGTATAAATCTCTTCGACTGCGAAGAAAGTTGACGCAAAAGTAGCTGGAGGCACAATAGTTGGGGAAGAATTTGTATTTCAAAGACAGAGTTATTTTGACTTGAGCGATGGAGAATGTAGCACCTCGGGACGACATTAAAGCGCTATTAGTCGTCAAAATTGTGACATCTTGAGTAAATATGCAAATGTGGGTATAAAAAAAGCAAAATTATACTGGATTTTCTTTTGGTGAATGGTTTGAGAAGAACAAAGCCTTTAAAAAGCAGAGGTGGCGAAGAAAAATCTGCTTCGTCTACGGCTTTTTTAAAGAAATATTTAGCAATCGGGAACTGAGTAATGAGCGCAAGTGACGGAGACGCACCTGGAGGAGCTTAAAACACACTTCTGAAGAGGCAAAAACTCAAAATGAGGCCAGACGTCACGCGGCGAGGTGGAAGCCCATATTTGTGCAAACAAAGCCACACCTGCACCTCGGCTGCAGAAGCTACAAGCCCAAAGTGCAGCTCTCGACAAAACCACTTTGAACCAGAAGAAGAAGAAGAAGAAGCCTGGATAAATACTAGGCCATTTTATCACAACAACAACTGTGTGTGGATTTTATAAACTACGATATAAAAGGTCAACGCAGACGGTGGTTCTCAAGTTCAGGGGTTTGCCGGAGGAAACTTTTTAAAAAATATTGTCCAATGGCCTTTTTGTTCTTCCCAGCTGGACACGGGATAAAATGCAAATATTCCAATGAAAGCAGCTTCATAATTTAATGTACTCTGAATAATGAGCCCAAAATTCAGTACAAAATAAATCATAATAAAATACAATTGCTCTGTAAATCAAGCTATATGTCCTCAGTTTTAGCTTCAATCCAGTTCTCTTTCAATCTAAGAAAAACTGCACATTTGCTAGAAAAAATAAGGCCCAAATCAGTATCCCATAATTAGGCTTAACAAAGTGCTGCACAGACAGTAAAAAACAGCACAATAAAAACAGAATATAAAAACAGAAATATACATACACATGAAACCCTGGTATTAAAAGCACAAACAAAACAAAAGCCAGAAACACTCCTTACACCAAAAAAAACACTAGATAATGTTTTTCCAAGTTTTCTTCTCCTTCTCTTCATTAAAATAAACCTCTCATCTCATAAATGTCCATAAAAGCAATATGTAATAACCTCTTAATTACCTAACTAAACTATCATGATCGCTCGTGCCTTAGCATTAGCATTAGCATTAGCATTAGCATTAACATTAGCGCTGCTTCGGTTTGTTAAGACGATGAAAATCAGACTCAGACAGATGGGATCTTGTGCACCAAAGAGACCTGGTTGTTAATTCACAAAATAGCAGTTAATTCAGGCCGAACAAGAAACACAGAAACAGGATATACTGAAACTTACGTCATCACGAAAAAGCCAAACCCAGGCTCCCGTTCGCTCAAACAACAGAGTCCTTGTTACTTCCACAGGGCCTGAATATTTGTACTATTTTGTCTTGCATTTGTCCTCCTGTGTAAGCCATGGGTCTCTATTCAGCACAAAGATATAAACATGGGCCAGTGTCAAAGTCGCCCACAGAAACCAGATATCAGATGGATTCTAGTCGGGTCAACTGTTAAATTATTATTACTTACAGTAGCTCAGTGCTTGATACATAAATGAGTTGCTTCTCGTTGTGTTTTTCTGCATTTGAAAGTTGTTGTTTGTTGTCTATATCTTCTTAATCATTCAAAACATACAGGTCAGAGTGACAGGTTTACGGAGACTTAAGCCGAACAGCTTTAGTCGACATCTGTAGAACCACAAACATATTTATAACCAGTACTACATTTCATCTTTCATTTCGATTTCCCCACAAAGATAGCAACAATATCCAATTTAGACTGTATTTCTAAACTACAATATGAAAACCTGTATATTTCAAGTGCTTATCCTCGATTTCAAACAGCCACGGCTCAATCGTTGGTCAAATCCCTGCGTATATCTACTGTATATTTACTGTATATAGCGTCACCCACCGCAAATTGGTTCTATTTTTACACACACACGCCTTCTTTGCAAAGACGATAAACAGATCTCGTTAAAGAAATGCATGCATCTGGGCGACAAACACGCCAGGGGGCCAAGAACAATTTGTGCTGGAGATGGCCTCAATCAGGATCTTTTGTGAGGACACGCATTTTAAACAGCCTCGTTTCCAGACCACACACTCGACAACATTAGCATCTGCAGCCTACACATGGCCCGGCCTTGTGATTACGCCATAATGTCAGTAAAGTAGCTGATATTCATAATAACAGCATAATTGTATGTAGTGAACACATAATAAGAAGGTAATTGCAGTATAGTGAACACATGATTATGTAAAGTGCGTGGATGATGGCGATGGAGCATGGACGGTTCTGCGGGAGGAAGCTACTGAGCCTCGGCCGCGGTGGAGGTGGAAGTTTGTGTGTTTAAACAAGCCGCTGTAGGTGCTGGGTTTGCGTAAAAACACCATTAGGCAAGAGTTCGGTCGTTAGGGTTGAGCAAAGACATGGCGAGACCTGGAGAAGGAATTAAAACTCTGGATTTTAAAATGTATTGAGGGAAATGTTCAGGATTTAGTCTCAGCCAAACACACTTGAGAGTTTGTGATGCTGGGTTCAGTCCGTCCGTGTTAAAGGGAGAAGAAAAGAAGAACAGATGAAGGGAACCAGACCTCCCTCTAGTGGCAGAACGTGCTGAATCGAAGCTTGTGTCGAAGCTCGGGGTGCACAACCAAAAGCACTTGGGAAAGACCAAAAGAAAACAAAAAAAATCTTTGTGGTTTTCATGCGCGTGGAGGGAATTCCTTATTGCGCGTATCATAAAAAGGAAATGTTTGCTTTAAATGCAAATCGGAGAACATGTTGTGATTTATTATTTATTTTATTGCTGGCGTTTTTCCCTTACTTTTCAAGAAAGAAAGCTTTGATCTCGTTAGGGAAAGAGAGAGAGAGAGATTGGAGGGGTGAGGAGGGAACCAACGCGGTGGGGTAAAAAAAATGTACTTCAGAGAGGGTGTGCGCGTGGGGAGGGGTGCTGCGTGGGTGTGTGTGCGTGTGTGTGTGCGTGTGAGTGTGTAGATAAATAGATAGACAGTGCGTTTAAGCAGTGCGTGTGTATAAAACAGCATTGGCCATAAGTCACGTTCTGTAACAAAGCTCTCATCTATATCCCCCTTTACGCAGAAACAGCCAGCGGTCGTGTGGTGTGCAACCTGATTTAAAGTTTCTATGTGGGGAAAATAAAAAAAGGAAAAAAAGCAGTGATTGGAAGTGCTTGACCCGACTGCACCATTTATTCCCGTTTCATTTCGGAGCTGCGCGTCAGGACAGACTCGGGGAGAGGGGGCCGTGCAGGAGACAGGGGATGAATGGGATGTAGCCAGCTTTTCTCTGCAACATCCCCGTGGCCTGTGGTGCATACGCGCAGACATTTAACTTTATGGGGGAGGAAAAGCGAAGCCAGTTGAGATTTGTCTTGACAATTTTGGGAATGCAGTCCCACGCGTAAAAGAAAAACCCCTCATCCAACAGAGGAAAGTCAGAGCCAAATCCAACAAGTAGCCATTCACACACAAAGCAACAGCTAAATCACAAGACATCCCACATGAATTATTGATCAAAGACGCGTGCCACAACTGCATCTACTTACATAGAGCTGATGTTTTTGAATAACTCCGCTATGTCCCCAGTGCTTCCATTGTTGGCGGTGTCTTGCACGGCCAGTAAAGGGAAAAACCTTCCGTTGTCAGACTTATTGCAATAGATCTCTGTTTGGGAGCAGGTGCAGGTCGGCGGGCAGTCCAGCATGGAGCTCAGATAGTCCTGGAATACACTCATAAGAAACAAAACCTTCCACCAGCAAATCCGCGTCGCGTAAAACCATAGATCCATGACTCCTGGTTGAATGCGGGGACTGGAAAGGTATATAAGCCGAGGTCCGGTGGTCCAGCTCGGGAGAGGAGGAGAGGTGTGGGAGGAAGGGAAGAGGGAGGAGGAGGGTGGTTTGTACAGAGGATGCCCTGTGAGAGCTCTGGATGGATAGATGCTGCTGCTGCTGCTGCTGCTGCTGTGTCCTTGCGTCTCGCTGAACAAGAAAAGGGGAACAATCACGCAATCAAAAACAACAAAACGATGTGTTATACGGATCCACTCGGCGTTGAGGTGAAAAAAGCATGGTGAGTATGTCCCCTGCTGCTGCTGCTGCTGCTGCTGCTGCCGTCGTGTGACTCCGCGCAGGACCAGGACGACTGCTTGGAGAGGAGACGCGCACGCAGAAGGAGAAGTTGGAGCATCAAGTCCCTCCTACCGGCTAGAGTCAGACTGACACCTGCAGCCACCGCATGCAAGCAGCATCCTCTCAGCTGCACCGCGCACGTCACACACGCGGCGTGGATGGAGGTGTCTCTGAAGGAAAGCGCGGAGGTTAGAGACGCAACAAGCGGAGCGGTTTGACAAATCCTCTTCCATTGTTGAGGAAAATGTCTCACATTTATAATGCATTAGACCAGAGGTGCGGACTCGAGTCAGACTCATTAGACTGGACTTGACAGAAAGACTTGGACAATAACATCAATAAATCTGACTTTTACTTGGATTTGCGCCTATTGATTTTTAGAGACTTTATACTTAACATAAAAAACCCAAAAAATTAAAAGTATGTTCACACGTATCTGCTCCATCTCTGTGCATGTGTGTGTGCGTCTATGTGTGCGTCTGTGCATGTGTGCGTCTGTGCATGTGCCTGTGTGTGTGCGTCTGTGCCTGTGCCTGTGTGTGTGCGTCTGTGCCTGTGCATGTGTGTGTGCGTCTGTGCATGTGTGCGTCTGTGCATGTGTGTGCGTCTGGGCATGTGTGTGCGTCTGTGCCTGTGCATGTGTGTGTGCCTCTGTGCCTGTGAATGTGTATGTGCCTGTGCATGTGTGTGCGTCTGTGCATGTGTGTGTACGTCTGTGCATGTGTGTGTGCGTCTGTGCATGTGTGTGTGCGTCTGTGCCTGTGCATGTGTGTGTCTGTGCATGTGAGACACAGAGCCCTCATTTGGCACAACATCCAATCAAATCACGTACATTGTTTTGATACGACAATAGCCAACCACACTAAAGAAATGTTAGTCTTGATAAAAAACTTGAAATTCAGAACCGTAGGACTTGGGACTTGAGACTTGTTGGCTTTGGACTAAGGACTTGTCTCAGGACTTGCTTGTCTTGACTCAGGATTTTACTTGGGACTTGTTGGGTTTTGTCTTGGGACCTGACTCGGGACTTGCCTGACTTGCCTCAGGACTCAACTAGGCTCTTCACTCGTGACTTGACTCGGGACTTGACTTGGACTCGACTCGGGTCTTGCCTCTCTTGACTCTGGTCTTGAACTTGGGACTTGCCTGTCTTGACTCGAGACAAGACCTGGGAGTTGACTCTGGACTAGACCTGGCACTTAACTCGGGTCTTGCCTGTCTTGACTCGGGACTAGACCTGGCACTTAACTCGGGTCTTGCCTGTCTTGACTCGGGTCTTGACTCGGGACTAGACCTGGCACTTCACTCTGGTCTTGCCTGTCTTGACTCGGGGTCTTGACTCGGGACAAGACCTGGCACTTAACTCGGGTCTTGCCTGTCTTGACCCGGGTCTTGACTCGGGACAAGACCTGGCACTTAACTCGGGTCTTGCCTGTCTTGATCCGGGTCTTGACACGGGTCTTGACTCGGGACTAGACCTAGATGTCCACAGCCTCATGGACGCCAGAGAAGGGTCATCAGAGTCAGCAATTGGCTCAAAATTCACAAATATTGTTTTCATAAATGTACTACATCAGATACATATATACATAGCTAAAGATATATAATAGGCAAGTTTATTTGTTTAGCACAATTTCATACACAAGGCCACTCAAAGTCCTGAACAAAATAAGAAAGCATTAAAATCATGAATAACAGGTGGGAGGGGCTAACTCCTTTTGCAGGTTGAAACCATTGGATCTGAGTTTACCGTGACGTATGTAATGAGCCTGAGTGAGTTGTTAGCATTTAGCCTAGCTTTAGCATTTAGCCTAGCTTTAGCCATCTCCTTTGCCGCTAACGGAGCCCGTGGGGAGTAGAGCCACAATCTTTGCCAGCGATTACATTTGCTAAACATTCCTCTTGCTCCGGCTTCAGTTTCTTGATAGAACCAGACCGGAATACTTTACTATCGCATTCTTCGCGAAACTACAACCTGCTCGTTCAACGCAATCTCTTGACCACAACTAACTACAACACCCGCCTCCCGCGCTCTCTGATTGGTCGGATGGAATTCAACTGATTATAATCACAAACACAGGGACCAGACCCAGACGTTACATGCAGGACATGATGATTGAGGCCAGGCTATATTAAAACAGAATAAAGGCAAATAATGTGGTAAGTTTCATGACCTGGGTCTCCTGCAAGAGGGAAAAGATGGAACGACAAAGAATGAAACAAACGCAGAGGGACTTTTTGGATGGGTTCAGTCAGCGGATGTTGTGAACACATCTGTCATTCATTAATCTTGTAATCTAGTCCTGGTGAAACTCTGTATGTCGAGTTTTTCTTCCCTGAGCGTCTCACTACAGACTCCTATTGTCCTTCCAGATGTCCACAGCCTCATGGACCCCAGAGAAGGGTCATCAGAGTCAGCAATTGGCTCAAAATTCACAAATATATTTTTTTATAAATGAACTACATCGGATACATATAGCTAAAGATGTATGATAGCAGACACTACAAAAGAACTCTCCCATTATTTAGAGATAGATTTTTATTATGCATGCCTTCTTGTTTATATTCTGGTTTAACTTGTTTGCACCGAGAGCCAAAGCAACTTCCTAGTTCGTGACTTCCTGTTACTTACTGTACATGGCAATAAAAAGGATTCTGATTCTGACATTACAGACTAACCTTGCACTAAAAGCACATGGACTTGGACAAACCTTTGTGACAATCAACCCCAGCTGAAGTTGATGATTAAAAACTAAATTATAGGTCACATTTTTCACTAGATTGGAAAAAAATACCCCAAAACATCTCCAAGAAAGCTCAGAATGTCCTCTTTTTAGTGACACAGATTGACATATTTTCCACACAACTTTGGAATATGTATAAACAGACTTTTTGCTGAGTTCAAATCCCTTTCCTTTAAAAGCTGAGACGTTGCTTTTCCAAACATCTGAATAGACCTGATGGTAATTGAGATATTCGGGTTGGTACAACAACACTCCCGACTGAAGTGAATTTAATGAATAACCAAAGAGTGTGTTTGTCGGTGGATTCTCAAACGCTCAGACTGACGTAAACAAGCAGTTTGTTGGCACTGAAGGAGAAACAGGTATTCACAAAAGGGAAATGTATAATAACTGTACCCTTTAATACTCAGACATGTGTTAGTATTAGATAGCAATATGGCCTATACACTTATGGATCCTTCACTTATGGCCTATACACTTATGGATCCTTCACTTATGGCCTATACACTTATGGATCCTTCACTTATGGCCTATACACTTATGGATCCTTCACTTATGGCCTATACACTTATGGATCCTTCACTTATGGTCTATACACTTATGGATCCTTCACTTTCCCAGACTTTGTCATCTTCTTCACATGTCACACCCGATAGTGTGGGAACCAAATCCTGGTGTGGTCCAGACTGGGTTCACGACAGGCCTGTGTCTGTAGATTAGGGGTGTCCAAACATTTTACTAATAGGGCCACTTTAATTCACCAGACTTGTCCAGGGGCCGACAACCTGGTTTAAAAACGGTTTTGAACTTTAAAATCAGCTTTAATGAAGTTGACGTTGGCTGAATGACAAATCTTTACTTTCTCACCAGCTACTTTAGCAACTCGATTTTGAGCCACAATCAAAAACAAATGTGAGTATATACAAAAAAACAAGCTTTACATCAAGATACAACATATATACAGTACAGAGCAAAAGTTTGGACACCCTCTCTCCTTCACTGAGGTCTTTTCATGACTATTGCTGTAGACCCGCACCAGGCTGTGTAAGGGCTGTTTGACCAATAAGGAGAGTGATGGTTATCAAGGCTATGCTCACACTCAGAGAGCAGCCGTCCTCCTGTGGACTCACCACCTGCAGAGGGTCAGTGAGGGGCTGGTGCTATGAGACTTGGGTGGCATCTCTGACTGCCACCCCCCTGACCCAGAAATGGATTAAAGGGTAGAAAATGGATGGATGGATGGATAGATGGATGGTGCTGGGCCACATGACCTCCACAGTCACCGGACCTGAACCCAGTCCAGATGGTTTTGGATCTGAACCCAGTCCAGATGGTTTTGGACCTGAACCCAGCCCAGAGGGTTTTGGATCTGAACCCAGTCCAGATGGTTTTGGACCTGAACCCAGTCCAGATGGTTTTGGGGCTGAACCACAGAGTGAAGGGGCCAACAAGTGCTAAGCATCATGGGAACTCCTTCAAGACTGTTGAGGACCATTTCAGGTCCTTTTAAGAGTGAAGCAGTATCAGAGCAAAAGGAGCTACTTTGAAGAACCAGAATATAACACATATTTTCACTTGGTTCATACTTTTTTACTACGTACATAATTCGCATGAGTTCATTCATAGGTTTGATGCCTTCAGTGTCAATCTACAATCTTGGTCTGTACTGTATATTGGTAGAGCTGGAGTTGGCTGCATGCCATCTCCAGCTCTACCAACATACCTGCTGTAATTTTAACCTGCCCCTCCTCCCCCTGCACCTGTGGACTGCCCTGCCCGACCCTCCTCGTAGGCTGTACCCCCTCACCGCCTGAAGCCGCTTCAGTCCT